TGGGTTCACATCCTAAATTTGATACATATTAGTTCTGGGCCCTTGGACAAATTATGTAATTTCTCTGAGTTTTCAATTCTGCATCTGAAAAATGGGAATAGTGATATTTAGCTCACAGTGTTGCTGTGTATAATGAAAAATACAATCTATAAAATCACCTAGCACCTAGCAGGGGTATAATAAATAGGTCACATTTAGACATTTAGAGTAAACAGCAAAAGCCCTCCCTCCATTTCCCTCTTTGCTTTATAATTCTAGAAGAAATCTCTGTCAACATTTTGGTACGTAGCCTTCAGAACTTTTCTCACATTCACAAATATATACACACACATATCATTAGTCCTTTACTCTTCTGCTTAATATAAATGAATCACACACACAGAATGTGCTTTCTGGATGTAGAACTTCTAAAGCCAATATACTGTAGCTGCCATCACATTAGTGCATGTATGTGCACATTTATCATAGCTTTGCAATAGCTCATTCTTTACTAGGATATACCATAATCTAATCAGTCACCTTCTCTTTGTGGGCATTATTTTCCTATTTTTAAACATTACAAACAATGCTGCTGTGACCGTCCCTATACATATTCTTGGGTTTCTACACAATTATTTCTACAGGATGGAGTCCTAGAAAATGGAATTGCTGGTTTGAAAGATACACGCATTTACAGCAGACTGGAGTTTGGAACGGCAGAGAAGCCTTTGGGCCACTCTCAGCCCACTGTAATGACTCCACTTTGCACTGTGCTTCAGGAATCCAGTGGAGCATAGTTTTTTTTAAGCATGCATTTTTGAACATGAAATATAAAGCAGTAAATTATTTGAGTACAGGTTCACATATCCTATGGTACAGGAAAAATGGGGTGTGAGAGGATGGCCGTGTCCCAGGTCTCGGGCGAGTGCCTGGGACGTGCCCTGCCAAGTGAGGGGCCTTGGCTTTGCACAGGAAAGAATTCTAGAGCAAGGTGTACTTGAGTAAAAGTTGATTTATTCGGAGAGATGCAAACTCCATTGACTGAGTTTAGTTTATCTCAGAAGGCTAGAAAGGCCATGAGGCATGGGGGTGGGTATTTAGTTTAAAGTAAAAGTAGGCACACACTCCATAGACAGAGTGCAGGCCATCTCACTTAGAAGGGAGAGCAGCCTTGGCCATGAGGTGCGGGGGTTGTTAGTTTATATGAGCTCAGTTAATTCATAAGCTAACAAGTGAGAGGACTATTCCAACTACTTTGGGGGAGGGGCTGGGATTTCCAGGAACTGGGCCACCACCTACTTTTGGACCTTCTATGACCAGCATGGGAGGTGTCATGGCACCTGGGCAAGTGCCATTTAGTATGTATGCTAATATATTACAACAAGGGTCTCCTCAAAGTCAAATCTCCTGCCGTCTTGGGCCTTAAGGTCTACTGGGAGTTGAATCTTTCACCATCTTGGTGTTAACTGCTGTGTCATTCCTTTAAATGCTCCCTTCCCTCCTATCTCACCTATGCCCACAATTCCACTTTATCCATCTTATAACAACACTCTCATGACGTGAAATAGCATAAGGTCAGCTCTGTAACCAGCTAAGATGAGAGAAACGTGTTAGCTAAAAATGTTAAGTAAAATTAATGGGCTAAGTGAGTACTGTTACCTGTATACTCTGACAGAATGATCAGTCACGGGACTAGAAGTTAGGAGAGCATCTCCACAGACAGAAGGGGAGGCGGGGACATCTCCCTCCTCTCCTGAGATGGGGCATGGCAGCCGGGGCAGTGGTCCAAGGCTTCTAGCACATCTCAGGATTGAATGAGAGCTCTGAGCAAGCGGCTCGGGATGCAGCAGTTTTGCAGACAGCCCCCTTAAACTCCAGGAGGTGTCCTAGTGTCTGTGCAGCAACCATAAGGGCTGCCCTCTTTGTTCACGGGGTAATGAGGAGTCAGCTTAGAATCTCAGTCCTTTCCCTCCAGGTCCTCTCTTCTAGGTCACTTGGCTGGGGACCAAACTGTCTTCGGGGGAGGAAAGTTAAGGAACTTTAATTAGGGTTTTGAAATTCAAATCCAACACAACCTTTTACATTTGATAACAATCACAAAATTGCCTTCAAAAAAGACAGTTCTTTACACTTCCTTGCAGTTTCCTTGTCACCTTTGATGGAAACTCACTAATCTCATTAATCTTTTTAGTTTTTGCCAATCTGATTTCTCCTTGTTGTCTCCATTTCCTTGCACAATGTGATGATTAAAAAGACACTAAAATTTTTGCACATGTTTGTGAACTATTTGTATTTCTTCTGTGAATTGCTTGCTTCTGGCCTGTGTCCTATTTTTAAAAGGGTTGTCTTTTTTTTTTTTAATATAGGAATTCTTTAAATATTCTGCATGTTAACCCTTTTAAATAATATTGCAGTTGTTTTCCGTCAGTTGTCTGAATTATGGCTTCTACCATCTAGGTATTCCACATGTTCATGTGCTTAGAACACGCTGAATCCCAGCTCCACCCTCCCACCTCCCCTCACCTTTCAGCTTGTGGAAGGAGAGTAAAAGCAGTTCCTGAGAACTACTGGGACACTAAGACTTCTGAAACCTGAACAGGACTAGTAGAATAAAGAGAGACTCCTTTTTACTAAATGGCAAATAAGCTTTCTGGTAGACCTGAATTTCTTCTTTATTCTCTCTCACAATACTGGAGAAATCAACACAGTGGTTATTTACATGTGCAAATATATAATCAGAGACTGCTCTAAAGTGGAGACGTTGGAGACGTTAGGGTTCTGCTTGGAAGAACGTTTCTCCACACTGTAGGCAGAGTCATAGCTCTATGTCAGGATTTAGACTCCTTACATACTGGCTTATTATTTTTGAGAGGCACATGTACTTTAAACGATTGCTAACAGGAGATGAAACCCCAAGACAGCTAGAAGCTGGGGCTGGCAGGATCTTTCCCAGAGATGGAGAAAGGACTGTGTGGAAAAAGGATTAGCTTGGTAAAGCTAAGTCTTGAGCCAGATATTGTTTAAAACTGAACAACCTAAGCCTTGAGAATGTTAAGTAAACTCCTTTTTATTAGTAACTTATAAGGGGATATTGTGTGAAAGTGGCCTCTCATCACCTTGAAGGTGTCTCCAGTCCTCCAGTGATCTGATGTGACCTGCTGAGTGCATGCCCCTACAAGGAGGTCTCCTCTGCATGCTGTAGACAGTCCTACATCAATCATGCCAAGAAAGCTTGTACTTGGGATAGGGCATGAGATGGGAAGGCAAGCCCTACACTGGGATGAGTAAGAAATACTACTTTCTTTAACCTTACTCTAGACTATGAGCCTATGGGTGCTGAATGGCACCCCAGGGTAGTGTGGAGAGCCTGACTTTCACCTGTCCCTGCATACACAGAGGACACAGCCCATGAAAAATGTCATTCTAATTCAAAGAGATTGCACCATCCATAATCAAAAAACAAACCTAGCAAACAGGGCCAGTCCTATATGTACACTGCCTAAATATTATGTTTTCAGGGGCCTTAAAAGGACCCTGCATGTTCCAATAGCCCTCTCCTACTTCCTGGCCCTTCCTCTCCCACCTCATTAGAATGAATCTACACAAAACCTGAGTTAAATATATTTACATTGTGAAAACATCCCCTGCCCCCACCACTCGTCAAATTACCAAAATCACTATCCCAGAGAGGTCTACAAATTTATAAACCTACCACCCTGTTTAATTCTTTATCACCTTCTACAAGAATTCAAAACTTTTACATAATTGCAATCATGTGTCCATGCAATAATGTATCCTGTGGTGGTGGTGGTGTTTTTTTTTAAATAACGTTTCACAGGTCAAAAGCCCCTGCCCCAGATAGTTACATACTGGTAAGTTCCTGGGAAGAAAACTGGTTTTGATTCCAGGCACATTCATTTGAATCACAGTTCGAAAATAGATCTTGTATGACTTTGGGAGCATTACTTAACCTCCTGACTCCATTTTGTAATTACTAGGATGAGATTATTCTGGCTCACAGGACAAATACGAAGAAACAGATATGACATATGGAGGGTAGCTGACTCATGGTGGACAGTGACTGGTAGTTCATATTCTTACTTCCTGAATTGATGGTTTTTGTGATAAGCACTGTGCCAAGAATTCTTTATGTCATTGTCTCTTCTAACCCTCCTAACAACCTCTGAAAATAGGTTGTATTATCTCACTTTCAAGGAGACCAAAAGGAAGTACACCGAGTCACTTGCTCAAGGTCACAAAGCAGGCCAGTGGAGGAGGTGGACTTTGAACTAGGCTACGGTGGACAGTGCCTTTTTTGGCCACTACTGACTAAGAAGCACAAATGTCACCTAGGAACAGCAGATGGCCTCTCTCCTTAACACATAACTTTGCAGATCTAAAAATCCTAGGGAAGCCAGGGTGGAGGAGATTTAACACTGGTTTAATTCTGAAGAATGTGAACAAGAGAAGGGTAAGAAGAAAATCCAGAAAACCTAAAAGGGCAGAGTAACCTCAAGAAAAATGGGCCTAGATGGACAAATACCGGAATTCATCTTTCACTACTCTGCTGTCTCAGCAATCACCTTTAAATTTACAAAATTCGTGTGGGTTACTTCAAAGGCAATTTGTAGAAACGGACAAGAATTTTCTGAACCCTGTGGGTTTTTTGATTAGTAGAACTGGGAGAATAACAAGTGCTGCCTCCTAGGGCTGTTGTTAAAATTAATGCAAATACCAGAAAGTCTTCACAGACGGAGGATTTCCTTAGTGCTCGACCCGCTGCTCACTTTGAACAGTACCCACGCCTGTGGCTCTTCTCCCCAGGGTCATCTGATGGCACGTGATCATGGTGCTTAGTGCCAAAGTCTGGAGTTATTAATGCTGTTAGACAATTAATTATTTCACAAACACTGAAATTTAAAAAGTATTCACAGCCATCCAAGTATGAAGACATTTTTAATATACGCTTCTCTCAAGGGAGACCCACTTCCTGAAGAAAAGGAAATGCATGTCTCACCTTCGTTCTTCTCCCTACAGTAACTTTTCCTCCAAAAGATGAAAAGCCCTAACACGTTAGTCCTTGAAGGGCAGAGCCCAGGAATTCCGGTGTCTGAACAGCCCCTACTCTTTAACTAAGGACCAAAACGCCTGCCCCGTCTCGAGCCGCAGAAGTCCCCGATGCGCAGAGCAAAAGTGTTTACTTCTGCCGCCTGCCTGCCCGGCGGGGAGGGGAAGCACACGAGCCGCCCCTCACTTTCGCCCCTGCAGCTTAAACTAACCAGGGCGGGATGGGAGTGTCTTCTTGGCTGGGGAACTTGATCCTCCTACCTTGTCCCGAAGCCACCCGCCGCTTTTCCCCGGCCCTCCCTTCGTGGTGATTTTTCCTATCCGGGACGCCCGGACAGGGCGCGCGGCTGGTGTCCGCCCAGCCCGAAAGGTACGGGCTCGGCTGCTACCCGGGGAACGGAGAGCCCCACTGCCTCCCGCCGCATTGCATCTTCCTCCGCGAACTTGGGGGCGGCCGCGGTCATCACGCAGCCCGCGCCAGCCGCCGAGCAGGAGGAGCTTCCC